ATATTTACTGCAGTGTTTCATGTATACCAGTAGTCTGATACAATATGTATAGTTTGAAAGGGTTTTAAATTAAATGTGGTGATGATTGATGGTTTTTGTGTTAATGTAATAGCAGTTAAAACAGGACCGGTCAAATTTGACCACGAACACCAAAGTAAGGGGGGGGGGGACGAAGACAATAGGAGGGTTAATAAGATTCAGCTGTATTTGCATTATTTAAACATAGAATTTCAGAAAACTTCAAATAAAAAAAAGTGTTCTAATGTCAGTAATTACCAAGGTGAGTTTAATAGTGGCTTTTTTAATTAAAATGTTTTTTTTGATTAAAATGTTTCAAAGTGGTATCTGTTGACCCTATTCTCACCTAGGGTCTCCCATTAAGTCAACCTGTTTCTCTCAACTCTGACTCCTCTGTGCCGAATATTTGTTTTCCGGGATGTTCCTTTGGGAATAAATGTTCTGGCCTGTGATTGGCCGCAGGTTCTGTTCGGAGCACTTAGCCCACTGGCCCTGACTCTTTAACACTAACGAGAGTGAGGGAGAGGAGGACATTGAAACTGATGCCTCCATGTGGGCAAGGAGCCATTGGTTAATGGAGATTGTTCTGCCAGCCGGGACCCGGGTCCTCGGGAGGAGATATTTCATTATTCCACGGTCAACGAAAGGCGCCACGACCACATCCAGGGTTTTGAACCATGATGTGGAAAATTAAAGGTTATTTCACTGCTCTGTGACACGCAACTCCCATTTTCTCACGGAAATATTGGATGAGGACGAGTCTTTTCCCACCGCTCAGACTAAGAGACACGTGTCAAATCCATGCAGCAAAACTGTGGGGATCAGACGTCTCTATTAGGGATGACCTTGACGTGAAAAAGTCATTTATCTAACTCCCCCGATGAGAGAGCAAGTAAAGGACGTACTTCATTTGACAATTGTGTAATGGCGCTGTGTGCAGATGCTATGGTTCAGAAGTGAAGTGCACACTGGAGAGTCTCTGCTATCGATAGCAGCCGCAGAAGAACACGTGACAGCAGCTTTGTGTGAAATGTGTTCATAGTGGATCCAACGTACATCAACAGATCCTCGCTGCATCAGGCTGTCATGTGGGTTATGCTAATGTGGGGTGATCCACAGCTTTGTAGTGAGAGATAGGGTCGATGTTGATGTCCAAAAAAACAACTATACCCTCCATGCTAAGCCCTTAAAGCTATTATGCTTTTTGGGGGCTTCCCTTCCCTGTAGTGCGTTATATAGGTTGTTGTTGTTGTGCATGTAAACCTGAACATTATTACCTCTTCAAACTCTCAAGGTGGAGACCCTCTGCCTATTCGTCACGTTTTGAACTCATGATCATCAGAACATGTTTGCCCCTTTTTTTTACTTCTTCGTTTTTTGATGTGCCTCGTAAAAAAATACAAATGATTGGAAAGTTTATTTTATAGCATATCAGTTGAAGGTAGTATTAACGGTCTTATTGTTTGTTGGGAGCTAACACAGAAGTCCACAGAGTGCTAGCGAGACCATTGAGGTTAAACTGCCTAATAAATCTCATATCTTCCTGTAAGAGAGCAATTTCTAAGGCTCAAGGCATTTTACAATGTGCTCTGTATCCTCTGTTTGAAGAATTGAAGCTCATATATCTGATTTAGACTTCCAACAGCCAGGTCTACCAGGCTGAATAACTCCTTTATTTCCTAATGCTCTAGATGCCCCGACTGATTTAACATTTAGCTTCTGGGAGCTGGTGATGCGTTTAGGAATGGCACACTCTAGATTTCCTGTTGTCACTTAATGTATTTTATTGTGTTTTTCTAACTGTCTGTGCGGCTATATACCCCGCAGCAACATACGTTTTCTCTTGTGAACAATAAAGTTTAAATTGAAGCTGACGTCTGGGACAGTTACCACGATGCTGTCGGGAAATAAATGTGTTTAGTTCCTACATTCTGGAAAAGCAGACAAAAACAAGAGAAGGGCCTTTTCTTTGTTCTTTTGAAGACATTTAGAAAAATTGAATTTTACAGAAACGTTTATTTTCCTTAAAGAAATGGCTCAAGGAGTGACATTTTAAATACACTGAACAAAAATATAAATGCAACACTTTTGTTTTTGTTCCCATTTTTCATGAGATGAACTCAAAGATCTAAAACATTTTCTATATACACAAAATAACAATTTCTCTCAAATATTGTTCACAAATCTGAAAAAATCTGTGATAGTGAGCACTTCTCCTTTGCCGAGATAATCCATCCCACCTCACAGGTGTGGCATATCAAGATACTGATTAGACAGCATGATTATTGCACAGGTGTGCCTTAGGGTGGCCACAATAAAAGGCCACTCTGAAACGTGCAGTTTTGCTTTATTGGTGGGGTCTGGGGGGGGTCCGAAAACCAGTCAGTATCTGGTGTGACCACCATTTGCCTCACGCAGTGCAACACATCTCCTTGGCATAGAGTTGATCAGGTTGTTGATTGTGGCCTGTTGGTCCACTCCTCTTCAATGGCTGTGCCAAGTTTCTGGATATTGGCAGGAACTGGAACACGCTGTCGTATACGCCGATCCAGAGCATCCCAAACATGCTCGATGGGTGACATGTTAGGGTTAGGGTTAGAAAATCTAGTGTATTCATCATTTTCCTACACATTTATTCACAGGTGTCTTTAACCTGGAAGTTGCTCTTTAAGGCTAGCTTTTGATTGACAGTTTG